TACTGAGCCTTGTCCTATCTCGCTTGCTGATTGGCTTGGGATACTAGGAGCAGGCGTATGCAAAAGTGTCATTTGCTCCCTCAGTTCATGCTGTCTGAACTGTATCCTAGTCTGCCATTCCACTACAACCACTTCTAGATCAAATGATTCAAGCTCCAAGTGCTTGCTGAGTTCTGTCATTAGCTTTTCCCTTTCTTTCTCATCATTCCTTGTGTTGATGCACTCCATAGCGGCACTGGTTTGCGTTTCTTGGAGCTTCATTGCGTTATGCAAAGAGTTTAGGAGATTAGCTATTACTCCTGTTTTCTCTTTAATGTACAGCTCACATTGTTCTTTTGTCGCAGGAAATGTGAAGGGAACATCAATGTCATTAATTTGTGACTCGTGCGATTTCACGAGTTTGCAGGCATTGTTGATCCTGATTTTGAAAAGTTGAAGTGCGGCCATCTTCGAGATTCAATTCCAACTTCTTCTCTTTTTGTCCTACAGCAAGTTGGTTGCTTTGCTGTTTCTTCTGTACAAGTAGGGAGGTTTTCGCAAACTTGTAGGCTCGTTAGTGGTGTTGTTGAATAGAGACAGCTGTGTGCTGATCTCTGATGAGCAAGCGTGCCTGGTTGGCTTGAACGCTGTGCTGACTGGTAAGGTGGCTTGGACCTTGACCAGATAAAGATTGGGTTTCAATCCTTTAAGTCAAGAGTTCTTGGTCGAACTTTGACTTTTTTGGCAAAATGAGCTCCTGTGACTCAAGTTGCCTTCTTTTCAAATCTCAATGTATTGATCTCCGGTCCTTGGATAGGATTCGCGAGAGATCTATGAGATCGATTGGAAAATTGCACCCACAAAAATTTGTTCCGCTCTCTGGATCACTTACGAAAAGGATTCACAGAAAGTTTCACGGTCTTATGTGGTTATGTGCTGCACTCACAAAATTTGTTCCACCCTCTGGATCGCTTGAAAGGATTCACAGAAAATTTCACGTATTAGTGTGATTATGTGCTACCTACTGATTTCTCTTACACCTTTCTGGATCACTTACGAAAAGGATACACAGAAATTTTCAGATGGTCAGTGGTATTCCTACTGATTTCTCTTACACCTCTTTGGATCTCTTATGAAAAGGATACACAAAGATTTTCAGATAGTCAGTGGTAGCCTTCCGATTTTTCTTACACCTCCCTGGATCTCTTACGAAAAGGATACACAGGAATTTTCAGATAGTTGGTTGGTTGTCTTCCTGCCACGCGGGTCTTGTGGCCTCGATTCCTCCGGTTGCAGATAGAATACGAGGTAGCTTCACTGGTCGATGCACAAATTTGGTGGGAACCAAGTGTCGTAGGCGATAGTGGTGTCGATAATAATTTATCCACAGACGAACATAACAAACACTCGGGGATTCCTTTTATACGAGTAAAAGGGGCGGAATCTACCCGCGGACAGGGCGCCGTAGACGGGCTACAGGCTTAAAAGGGGAAGCCGCCGTAGAGGTCGACTCCCGCTGCACAAATGTCACTCAACGTTCGAGTGATTAGATACTTCACCAAAAGTGGATGGAAATATAGCCTATGGACGCTCCATAGGCTATTCTAAAGATAAGCTCTAGGTTGATGGCCAAGAATCATCAACAACCAGACTCAAATTACGTAATTTGCATACAATCTTTGAAAACTTGTTTCTCTAAAGTGCCAACAAAAAGATGAACTGGGATAACTATCTTGTAGCGCGAAACCCACTTCTCTTCCTAAAGAACCCATGAACTTAGGCTCAAATCTTAGTAAGTGATTGAATATTCTTTGATTTAGGCGAGGACTTTTGCATTGACCTATATAGTAGGTCAAGATCGTTTTGGCATGCTAAGAGAAAATTTACAATATTTCAGCGGATATTTAGCTAAAATTAATTGCAAAAGTATCAACAAATCTCTCCAGAAAAAGGTCTTTCCTATTATTCATTATCATGAAAACCACCAGAACATGAATGAAATTTCAGTATTGAAAACGCACTCAAACTCTACGAAGAAGTTGTTGAAAATGATAAGAAGCCCAAATCATTCGGTTAATAAGTCGAGATCTAGCTTCAAAACTGTTTTAAACCACAATAAGGTAAATTATGCTTCTTCTGGATAAAGTCTGTGGTTTTGATTCGATAGAGCACAGCAAGCTCTACAAGGTGGTGTTTTGAAAAGATGCATCAAATTTAATCTTTTGTAGCCAAAAATTATAAAATCCAATTTCCGAAAAATCCGAAAAAATTAGGAACTCCATCAAAAATTGCACTTGTGCAACTGCTCAATGGATATGTTTTCACATCAGAGGTACCTATATACACAACTCTGGCTGAAAATCGAGAAAGCGGAAATATCTTTGCTTCCGACAAAGCGACGCCTACATGTAGACTTTATAACTTCTCATCTGTCACCATCCATCCGTCATTATTCATCCATTTGAAGAACACAATGGGACTATTCTCCAAGCCTGCACAACTCGGAATAAGACTAGCTAGTGGGCGGAGCAAGTGGGTGGAGCCGTCTTAAAGGTGCGAAGGCCCCTTGGAGGTGCTAACTACCCCTGCTAGGAAAGGCGGCGAGGCTTTGGGAACTCTTGGGCCGCCGCCGATACATCCATGCCCTAACACTTTTCTTTTTATGTGTTAAGGTCATGGATATGTAATCGTGCCACGATGCCATGCCGGAGGAGGGATTTTGCCATTCGAACCGTGAAGGACCAGTTGCAAAGCTTAAAGAACGATTTGAAGTTATGTATTTCTGAAGATTTGGTTGGAAAAAAACAGCCATTCTGATTGAAATATGATGTCACTGGAGAGGATCTACAGGATAACTTGAAATCTTACTTTGATATCTTGTTGGCTAGGGAAAAGTTCACACATGGACTATGTTACTGATTCAAGAAGTTATCTCCTTTTCAATAGCACATAAACTTGCTTTTCGATACCTAGGAGTAGTGCTACGACTGCCTATCAACTTGTCACGGATATGTGTGACACCTTTTTGAGCAGTTGGATTTTAGAATAGCTGAATGGTATACAAAGTCTCTTGACATCCTTTTGCTTTGATTATGATTTGCCACTGTTGAAGTCTGCAATTTTCGATGAGGTAGATTAGTTACCTTTTGCGCTTGTCTTTTATTTAGTTTTTAAGCAGATCTTCTCACTTCTGTAAGCAAAACGGTTGATCTGTTTTATAAGAATGGTTCGTAAAATTTTTGAAGTTGCCTACACGAGTTATAAAAATGCGCAAGTATGTCTGTACTTCAAATACCCTAATTTCACGCGTATAAGGCGCACTTTTTCGAATTTTCAAGCGAGCCGCTCAGCCGCTTCACCGTATTCCAAAAAAAATCCTTACATCGCACGATTCTCTCAAGTAATATACAGCACGTTATAGGGTCCTCTGGTTGTAAAGTCCTTTGGCTTCTCCGGGCTGTTCGATTTTGGAAAAAAATCCCCCGCGCCTTATACGCGTGAAATTAGGGTAATTATAATAATTTAGAAATTTTTTTCAATTTCGGGGTTATGGACCCGCAAAGATTTGAAGCATTCTAGAAAAGTACGTGGCTATTGCCACACACATCTATTCAAAGAGAATTTTCGACCCCCCCCCCCGGCAAACGGAAAATCCTGGGACCGCCACTGCTGACCATATATGTGGAATCTCAGCATTGGACTGAGCTAACACAACAATTTATATCAGCTTGACTCATTGAAAAGAGTGTCAGATTGGGAACAAGAAAAATAATGAGGAATTTTTCTTTGATGTTGACACGGCATTGTCGGCATAAAACATAAATTGATAATGGGTTTTTTATATTAAAAAAACACTGCAGAGGGAAAAAAGGATGCTAATATTTCGAAAAACTTCAAACACGATATCTCGGAATGATTCCCATCGAGTTTGAACTGATCTAACCTAACCTATAAGCCTGATATTTCAAATGAGACTGCTCTCAAAATTTTGTTTGCTTTCGTCTTGCTCCTGCGAAATGCAGATCTTAAATGAAAATCTATGGAAGCAAGATATCAAACGAAACTTGCATGTTATGAAATGCAATGAAGGCTGTTATGGATCCACATTGTTTTTGTTTGATGAAAAGTGCTCTATACGCTTTTCTCTAAATAGAAACCCACAAGAATTTCTGAGCAAATAGTTCGTTTAAACCCTGTAAACTTCTGGGAACTTTGAGCAAAACAAGAAGTACGACCCAGTGACAGCAGTAAGTTTAATCAAATTTGTATGATTGAATGTGTGCTTTGTACATGGATACTATTTCAAGTGTGCATCTGATTGAGCAAACTTTGGATCTGTTACCCACACGAATAAGAGTTTCTCTCTAGAATTATTGTGGCATTATTATTACAAAGCCGAAAAAATGAAACCACCAATTACCATTTACAGTTGACTCAGAGTCGTACGTTAACTACTATAGGAGGCGAAAAAGCCTAGAAAAAGATGAGCACTGAGGATTGCTGAAGCAAAAATCTGATAGACTGCGTTTTCTACATGGAAACTGATAGAGTGACTTTAAGCAAATCATTGTTCAACTGGCAGCTCGTACGTCTCCAAAAAACCTAACTCTGAGCTCCAGCCCAGACCGCACCCTCTACCCCGTTTAACGCTGATTGGTGGCTTCTGGAAAGTGCGATGTGGGAGAGAGCTTAGAACTAAATTTCTTGACTACGAATGAGTATATGAGCTGCACTTTGAGTGATGGCTTGGTCATCTCTCCTCTTCAGTAATTATTGAAGTTCAAGTGCTCGATTTGCCTAAACCACTGTTTTGAGCAGTTGTTTACAATCCAGTAGCCAAAAGTATATACGGAGGAATAAAGGAAATTACTTCAACTAGAAAATTTGCTCAGTTGCCATTCCGTTGAGAAAACAAAGTGTACACTGTTTCAAATTTATCTGTACTGTTTGAGGACGACCTCTTTTTCCTGTATAAAAGCCGTTCAAGGAGAGCGGACTTCAGTTTCGCTTTCCTCACAAAGATGTTGAAACTCCTAGCCCTTGGAGCGGTGAGTCAACTTTCCGTTTGATCTTTCCACTAGTCCGTTCAAACTCAACTACTTGTAGTTATTGCTGATTGCTACCACTTATGCCGGTCCCTTAGAGGGTACGTTTGTTTAACCTATCCCCATATTTTACTCTAGATAGCCCATCTTATTCAGGCAGTTCCAAAGCAGCGCCGCCGGGAGATCCAAATGTAAGAACAAAGTTGTAACTGTAATTTTCCTAGCATTGTAGTGTTGAGGACAATATTGGCTACCATCAAGTGTTGTCAAAATCCCCTGTAGAGCTCATTCTCTCACCAAAAGAAAAAAAGAGTCTGGAAATCTACTCTGATGATCATCTTCTTCCAAACGACTTGAAAAAAAATCAGTAATGTCAAATATCACTTTCGTGAGCTTACAGAAGCCCAAGATGTAAACACCGTTTGACATTAATAACTCTCATGCTCTAAAGTTTTCCGCCGAGCTTAAGGTATCATTCTGTAGAGCAAGATTCAGTTTGGATTTACATATGGACGCATCATCAATCACTCTTCATCACGTTACTCTTCATGTAGGATTACTGTACATCGAAAAGGAATTCAGGAAAGTAAAAGCGATTTTTGCCTCAGAAGGAAAATCAAACAAGCCAGACTTGCACTGAATTAATCGAAGACAATGACTCTGAATATGATATTGGAACTTTACTGTAATGCTTATTTTAAGTTAGTTCCGACTTAGGGTAACAACTGTCTTTTCAATGGTCGTCAGAAGTGTGATTACATCATTAAAAGAACTCAAAAAAGTGCAAATTGTGTAGCGAAAACAGCACACATGAAAACCTTGCTGCATAAATTTCCAGATTTTTTGGAATTCCATCAAAAGGCCTAATTCACAGATACCGCTTTATGCTGAAAATTCATACGGTAATCCTACAGTAATGAAGAGTGATTGATGATTCAGTCCATACTGCAAATCTAAGTTGAACTTCGCTTTACAGGGAGGGCGTGCAGGAGTTCCTAGCACCTTTACTCGCACCAAGTTCGCACCAGCATTCGCACCCAGGAGGGTTTTAGCACTTCCGCGCTTTAGAGGTCAGGCCACGCCCATTGCTCCACCCATTTACTGGTCTCATTGTGAGGTGTGCATTCAGCGAGAGCACAGAATCAGTATTAAGGTAACAAGGGAGGAAAAATGGACAAAAAACGAGTTCCATCATTTATCAATTGTGGAGGATTGGAAATGCTACACCATCCTTTCAAAAATGAGCACTTGATCATTTCTATGGAGTTGCACAGGATTTTTTGTATAGAAAACTCGGTCATTCGAAATATCAGAGATCTAGTTGATCAGTTGTAAATGCCTGGTCATCTTGAAGTGATTCAGCATCAGGAGTTGAATAACTGAGTGACCAAGAGATGTAGAACCCTATTACTTTCTCAACGTTAGAATTACCTATTTTGAATGGAGTATATCAAAGTTCCCGATAAAGCAGCTCAACACTTTTTCCGTAGTAGTTAGGATATTTGAACACATATACTTTCCTATTTTCATTTGCCATCATATATGTTCAACGAGTTTTTTATTCGGATTACTTTAATGATCAATAAGATCTCAATTGTCAAAATCCAATTCTTAAGCATCTCCTATAGTCGATGTCCTTCAAAACCAAGGTTCGGTTGCTTGTGTGATTGATTAGCTGGCTAAGAGTTTCAAATGCGAATCTAAATTTACAAGTTATTTCAGTTTGCTGTAAATCTTAGCTGAACATAGAACTTGGGTGTAATTGACTTATCTGTTATATACTGTAATTGGAAGACTCAGATTTTCTGCTTGATTTATATCACTATGATATGCTTCACAAACTTACTCAAGCGCGAGCACTTACAAAATTTTGGGAGAACGTCATTTTATCCGAAACGTGAGTAAAACGTAACTCGAAATGCCTGAAACTAAGTTGCAGTCATTTATGCATCCTAAACCCTTAATTTTCAGTGCTATTATCTTCAAAAACAATACACTTGTTACAGTGCGTGCACACAATTCATAATGAGGGCACCTAGAGGGAGGAGTGATGGGCGGAGCCACCCTTTGGCCCCGAGAAGGTGTGATGTCCTTCAAGGGATTTTTGGAGGTGCCAAGTACCCCTGCGAGGAAAAGCGGCTAGGTCTTGGGAACTCCTGCCACGCCGCCGCTTTACAGAATGTTCCCACAAGCCCGGCGAAAGACATGAAAGCAAGAGAGTTATTAACGATGAAACAGTGCTCACATCTTTTTGGGACATCCTTCATAAGTACCAAACAAAAACTCCCATTCATTGCAGAAGCGGTTAGTCAAATTTTTTTTCAGCCCGACCTTGCTGGGCCTAAAGACAAGGTAAAGGAAGAAAAGGTATGTTTGATATTTGAGTGTTCACATAAATTGTGTTGAATGCTGTGCTCACTATTTTTTATTTGCGTTGCTTACGATTAGTAAACTTGCTAATAAAAGGGGGTATAATTATAATGTTGCGCATAGAACTGATTTCTATGCTGCGATATGTCCGCTTTTGAATGCGATACATAGTCTAAGTGTCTATAAAAACGCTTCAGTATTTCACACTTTAAAGGGTCTTGCAAATAGTTTTCCATTCCAAGACTGGGACGACATCTTTGTAGGTGGAAAGCTATTTGATCATCACTGTGTTTCATCTCTGATAGCAAAAACTAGATAAATGCACTACTAGGCTGATGAAGAAGATGAAGAGGAAAAGGAAGAGGAAGAGGAAGAGGAAGAGGAAGAGGAAGAGGAAGAGGAAGAAGAAGGCGAAGAGGAAGAGGAAGAAGAAGAGGAAGAAGAAGAAAAAGAAAAAGAAGAAGATGAGTCTAGAAACGGACAGAAAAATGGAGTAGAAGATGAAGACAGGAGACAATCAGAAGAAGAACAAACAAACAACGAACTCTCGGAAGTAAGTTTTGTATCAAATAAATCTTACGCTTTTGCGATGTCTTTAAGTAATGACGCTTATTTTCAGAAGCCAGGAAATAAGAAAGATGATGACAAATCCGCTGTTCAAAATGGTGAAAACAATGCAAGTTTTTAGTTCTGGTCTACAAGTACAATACCACCCGTAATTTGTGAAAAAAAAATGGCGGCGGCACTTAACTTACGCGGCGCCGCCGAAGTTAGGTGACTTTTGCCGCGTCGCGCGGCAAAAGTCGGCGGAAAAGCGGCCAAAGTCACCTAACTTTGTCGCGCAACGCCTAACTTTTTATAAAAAAAGACCTTATCTTGATTCAAAATTTATGAATTCTATATATAAGAGTACCATTCAACTCAGCTCGGCGAGGCGCATCTTCCAGTATACGGATGTGCCTAGTTGTGGGATATAAGTTTCTTTCCTGGAATTTTAGTGTAAATGGACCATTCAGTGTGCTTATTCCAGAGGATACGTACACATTCTATTGAGCACAGCAGAAATAGGGCAGGTATAGTTTAAGAGCTCATTCTGCATGGATATATGTGAAACTGGGCAGCTCATTCTGCATGGATATGTGTGAAAGTGGGCTTTTCTCGGCGAAGTATGACGGGTCCCAAAATGCAGGAAGACAAAGGGAAATGGTTGGAAATCGCATGAGAAGCACATATCGCGGAATGCCGCGCGTGCTGTGCAATGTACAATACCACTCACAGAACGGGAATTGCGCGAAATTCCAGAAATTTCGCGATTCCGGATTATCGCAAATTATGCAGCGCCATAACTTCCTTCGGAATTAATATATTCTAAATTCGAAAGCAGCACTGTGTTCATCTCGTCAAGGCGAATCTTTCTACATACGTCATGTCATCTATATCTTGTTTTCAGTTTTCTCAAATTGTTCTGAGGAGGTCCCTTTGCAAGTATGTAACGCAGCGCCTATCCAACTTGAAAGCTTCCAGTAAGCACCATTCGATAGTGCTCTTCTTGTGCATTATAGTGCGCTAGTAAGCTGCCGCAGACTTCTTTTCAAAAGAGAAAAAAGCGTTGGTAAATTCTGGAAAAATCACTCGTTTCCAGATTCTACTTGCCGTAACTTTCTTTGGAGTGGATATTTTCTGAATCCGAAAAATGCATTGTGCTCAGCTCATCAAGGCAAATCTTTCGGTATGCAGAATGTCCTTGATATCTCGATTTCAGTATTCTCAAAACTTTCTGCGGACGTCTCTTCGCAAAGGTGTGAAGCAGCGCGTATTGCCCCCAGTACATTCAGAAAGAAATTTTCAATAGTACTTCTTTTGTAGATTATGGAGCGCTAGAAAGTAGCCGCACACTCCTTTTCAAAGGAGTTAGAAGGGCTGGTGAATTCTGGAAAAATCATGTCCTTCTAAATTTTTCTCAACGTAACTCTAAAATATGAAGCTCTCTTGCTAAGCAGATGTGATTTTCGTAACCAGCAGGTCGGATAACCCTTAAGTGCAAGTTTTCCAAGATTTTCAAGTAATTTCATTTTTTCTCGTTTTACGCTCTGAAGCTGGCCGATGGATTTTGGTCAAAATGTTCATGCTCTTAAATTGTAAGGAAACTTCGCTTATAGAGGTTTTCGAACACGCTCTTTACGAAAATCGTGGTCTTTGAGGATTACAGGGTCTTTTTGGTGAGATACGGTGAGGTGACTGTAACTGCATCACGAAAGTGCGTAAATTGGCCCGCACTTCTCGTGTATCTGTCAGCAACCTTGCCTGCTTGCTTTTCTCAGTCAAAGTTACTAGGAACTGCGCTACCGAATGGTGCATGAATCAGGCTCCAGTCTGTAAAAATCACCGAGTTACGAGCCTATGAAAACACGTCCTCATGAATTTTGCCCAAAATCTAAAGATCGCAAATCTCGTCGAAATTCCACCGTGAGCGCTTGTACAACACGCTGATCAAAATCTTTCGCGTCCTTAATGGATCCTATTGTGTTAGATTTAGTAGTTTGAGTTCTAGCCACTGAAATAGCTCTGATATTCAACTGAGCAGCTGAAGCATATGCAAGTACCATATTCAATACAGTGGGAGTTTTTGGGCGAAGCGAACACAATATCCGCAATGCGAGTGTCATACAAGCGCTCACGGTGGAATTTCGACGAGATTTGCGATCTTTACAATTTGGGCAAAATTCATGAGAACGTGTTTTCATAGGCTCGTAACTCGGTGATTTTTACAGACTGGAGCCTGATTCATGCACCATTCGGTAGCGCAGTTCCTAGTAACTTTGACTGAGAAAAGCAAGCAGGCAAGGTTGCTGACAGATACACGAGAAGTGCGGGCCAATTTACGCACTTTCGTGATGCAGTTACAGTCACCTCACCGTATCTCACCAAAAAGACCCTGTAATCCTCAAAGACCACGATTTTCGTAAAGAGCGTGTTCGAAAACCTCTATAAGCGAAGTTTCCTTACAATTTAAGAGCATGAACATTTTGACCAAAATCCATCGGCCAGCTTCAGAGCGTAAAACGAGAAAAAATGAAATTACTTGAAAATCTTGGAAAACTTGCACTTAAGGGTTATCCGACCTGCTGGTTACGAAAATCACATCTGCTTAGCAAGAGAGCTTCATATTTTAGAGTTACGTTGAGAAAAATTTAGAAGGACATGATTTTTCCAGAATTCACCAGCCCTTCTAACTCCTTTGAAAAGGAGTGTGCGGCTACTTTCTAGCGCTCCATAATCTACAAAAGAAGTACTATTGAAAATTTCTTTCTGAATGTACTGGGGGCAATACGCGCTGCTTCACACCTTTGCGAAGAGACGTCCGCAGAAAGTTTTGAGAATACTGAAATCGAGATATCAAGGACATTCTGCATACCGAAAGATTTGCCTTGATGAGCTGAGCACAATGCATTTTTCGGATTCAGAAAATATCCACTCCAAAGAAAGTTACGGCAAGTAGAATCTGGAAACGAGTGATTTTTCCAGAATTTACCAACGCTTTTTTCTCTTTTGAAAAGAAGTCTGCGGCAGCTTACTAGCGCACTATAATGCACAAGAAGAGCACTATCGAATGGTGCTTACTGGAAGCTTTCAAGTTGGATAGGCGCTGCGTTACATACTTGCAAAGGGACCTCCTCAGAACAATTTGAGAAAACTGAAAACAAGATATAGATGACATGACGTATGTAGAAAGATTCGCCTTGACGAGATGAACACAGTGCTGCTTTCGAATTTAGAATATATTAATTCCGAAGGAAGTTATGGCGCTGCATAATTTGCGATAATCCGGAATCGCGAAATTTCTGGAATTTCGCGCAATTCCCGTTCTGTGAGTGGTATTGTACATTGCACAGCACGCGCGGCATTCCGCGATATGTGCTTCTCATGCGATTTCCAACCATTTCCCTTTGTCTTCCTGCATTTTGGGACCCGTCATACTTCGCCGAGAAAAGCCCACTTTCACACATATCCATGCAGAATGAGCTGCCCAGTTTCACATATATCCATGCAGAATGAGCTCTTAAACTATACCTGCCCTATTTCTGCTGTGCTCAATAGAATGTGTACGTATCCTCTGGAATAAGCACACTGAATGGTCCATTTACACTAAAATTCCAGGAAAGAAACTTATATCCCACAACTAGGCACATCCGTATACTGGAAGATGCGCCTCGCCGAGCTGAGTTGAATGGTACTCTTATATATAGAATTCATAAATTTTGAATCAAGATAAGGTCTTTTTTTATAAAAAGTTAGGCGTTGCGCGACAAAGTTAGGTGACTTTGGCCGCTTTTCCGCCGACTTTTGCCGCGCGACGCGGCAAAAGTCACCTAACTTCGGCGGCGCCGCGTAAGTTAAGTGCCGCCGCCATTTTTTTTTCACAAATTACGGGTGGTATTGTATCTCATATGCGCACATATTGTCTCCATTTAATGAATTTACATTTAGAATGGAGGAGAAAACGAAAACAATAATGAGATAGATATAAATGGACAGGTGAGCAAGGCCATTTTAACAAATGATATAGAGATATGTATCTTCCAGAATGGAGTTGAATCGCCAAATGGTCCTGCTGGGGAGAACGGAATTCACGTAAGTTTTTGTCTGGAAAAGAGTACGGATATACCATTTTGAGTATAACGCATGAGATATGGTCCCCTTTTTGTAAGAGTTTCCGTTGCATGAATATCTTAAAGTCGAATTCACAAAAAATTGTGTTAGAATTACATGATGTTTAGAAGCAGAGCACAGGTAGACGAGAAATCCTTAGGCGATGTTTTGTTGCTGACAGCGCGTCAAAGCTTTACTATCGATAACGGCGAATATATATCTATAATTCTGCCAACAACAATCCTATCCTGAATAGAATTCTGCTTGTGGCTTTTATAGGATGTCAATAGCAATGTAATAACGAATGCGAACGGACAAGGACCAGTTGGCCCACCAGGACCCGCCGGGCCTCCAGGATTAAAGGGAGAGGCGGGACCGCCAGGACCGCCTGGACCGCCAAGTCCCCCTGGGCCACCCGGACCGCCTGGACCACCTGGACCGGCTGGAAACCCTGGATCTCCACAACCAGCGCCACCGGTACCTAGGCCACCACCACCACCGCCTAAAAGGAAAGGTAAGAAAACACCCAAAAAGGTCAAGAAACCGAAGGCAAAGAAGGCGAAGAATCCAAGAGGGAGGAGATCAAAGAGATCAATTGCAAGGGTAAGGAATATTTTATTGCATGAGGTTAGTTGTTATAGTTTAAAATTTTCATCGTATAGAAAGTGTTTTCGATCCACGGCTAAGGGAGGATGAAGGCTAGAGGTGAGTTCAATGTTCCTCAATGTTGCTGTAGGTAATCGCTGAAAGATCCTTAATGATACGATTAAAAACTAGCAGAACAACTCAAATACTGATAGCAGAAGTTCGACTTTAAACTTTAGCGGTTTTCTTTTTTGCTGTTTTAAGATCAAATTATATTTTACAGGTTGAAACATCCCAAACTACATCTTTGTTCTGGCAGCATTTGCCTGAATAAACGTTAACGTAACATAGTGTACCACATGCCCACCATATACGATTTACCATATATGGCAAAAATGTGCAATATTTATTTCCATTAAAAAACAAAGCTAAAGGAAGCTTGCAGATTCTTTTGAGAATTGATAACAACAGCGGATATGTTCACCGAAATGCCTTGTTGGTCGAGTTATTATGAAGTTCAGTTTCAAGAAGACTAGATGTATTATATAGGGACAAAATGCTTTGTGAGGCCACGCTCGAAAGTCGTATAAAGAAGCAAATTTTTCAGCTGTACTGCATTGACTATTCCGATAAGTTCAAATTATAATGTCTAAGTCAACTTCACGAAATGTCCCAAAATCTGCCGAGATGATTCAATATGAAAAGCACTTATCTGACATCAAAAAAAAAATCCGTGGGGTCGCATCATCTGGATTGATTACGGACAACAATCTGAATCACGATTGCAGTCTTAAATAGCAACTTTCGGAATTCTCGTCCAAGCGAGAAAATCTAAAAGTGTGTCAGATTTTCGAAGCATTGTTACTTCAGCTCTCCGCAATCACTGGTCGTGTCTGTGTGCCCAGCTAAAAATAGTTCCAATCAGATCAGAACTGCGTCTCAACAATCAACATCTGGACATTTTTCATATTTTAACTACCCTAAAATCCCTACATTAAGTCCGCCTCTCAGATATGTCCGCCTCCCAGATAAGTCCGTTTTTTTGTATGGAAATGCACCCTCGCGCCGCCAAAAGTCCCGCATATAAGTCCGCTTTTTTGCAGATAAGTCCGGACTTATTGGCGGGATTTTAGGGTATATCTTCTAACACTATCATTGTGCTTGAGTGTGCCGTCACAATATTTGGCTTCTTAAGTCTTAGTCAATTTTGAGGACTGTGATCTTATGTTAGATGTCTGTAAAACTCCTTCAAGAAGTAGTAACGTATATCAGTGGCATACCCAGAAAGTCCGTCCGGGAGGGGGAGGGGAGCGGGGCAAAAATTTTTCTTCTGATAAAGGTGCGTAACATTACGCACTTCCGAAAATTTTTGGGATGCTTTTCAAAATATTTGCGCGCTCCTGACCCCGAAATTCCAAAAAGGGGGCTTGACGGCAGCCATATGTAGCCCCGAAAAGATTTTTCACAAGGCTAATTTAAATTTTTAAGATTTTTTAAACTATTTACAAGTAAAAAAAATCGCTTGTACATTTTTCAACACCTTTAAGTAACTTTCAAATAGAAAAGTCACAAGTTCTTCTGCCTTAAAGAAGATCTATTACAAGGTTGAGCAAAGGTGTTGCAGTTTAAACCGTGCCTCTATCAATTGCTGTACGAAGTATAATAATATGAACATAGCTAAGGGCTAATCAATTGCTGATTGCTTCAGGTTTTGCTTCAGGTTTTCCGAAAATTGCAGTAACAAAGTCATTGACAAAAACCAGTTTTGTCGCGGCTCGCGATCGACCGCTCCTCACAGCATGTGGCCGGGAGCACCGTGTTGCCGCGCGTCTCGGTCGTGAGCACGGTCGCCGCGCTTTACGGCGGCTATCTTGTTCGCTCCGAGACCACACCACGTAGGCACGCCCCCAGCCACCGCTATAAATAGCGCGTACGCGCGCCAGTGCGGCCTCTCTCGTCTTGTCATCTTACTATTATCGTCGTGCCGCCTTTATTATTGATTGGTTGGGTTTCTACGATATCGCCGTCGTGTCTACGTCCCCGTGCCTCGCGCGATTGGATGGATCGTTGATGGATTGTTTGGATGTACGCGCGAGGATAGAATCCAGGATTATGAACATCACGAAGCGCCTTGGTCGCGCAGGACTCGTTGGGAGCTTGGTTCGATGCTGTTGGTTAGCATCATGGGGTCGGTGTTGCCGTGCCGTAGCTGCTGCCTTGGCGGCGCGCGGCCGGCCTGTGGGTAGCTCCCTTGGATGCCGGGAGAGTGTGTGAGTGTGTTAGCGTGTGAGTGTGAGTAAGATAGAGTCCCCATCGGTAGCCCGGGGTAGAGCTTAACTCTCCCCGTGGTAAGTATGTTTATATTTATGTCGTATATTTTTCTCGTGTATATTTGTTTAGTAAATTTATGTACTTTTATTGTTTTGTGTGCAGTGTAGGCGTAACGCGCCATTGTGAGCTGGCGCGCACCCGCAATGGCGGAAGTCCTTCGGTGACAGGAGCTGGACGCAAGGCAGTCGAGCACTAGGTGAGGGGCGCAGAGCCCACCGAGCCGCAATATGGTGCATCGATGCCGAGCGCATGGTGGATGGCGTCGCCGCCCGCGGATGGGTTAGTCGCGCAAGTTGGAGCAGAGTCGTGTGTCATCGGTGTGTTGCGTCGTTGTTACGTTGTTGAAGGAACGCGCTATCCCATCCATCATGCGTGCGTAACGAGCCCGAAGCTACCACGCTCAGCGCCCCAGTAGGAAGTCCTGGCAAACAGAGAGGCAGAGTTGAATACCTACGTAGCCAGTAGCAAGAGTGCCGGAAGGTAGCCAGGGTGCGAAGCATGGCGTGTCAGCGCGGGGGGATAGTCGGGAAGACTGTGGCAACTTGCCAACTAGAACCCCAATCGGCCGAGCGACCACGTCATGCGATACCTGGTAAGCCTGTCGCGCTTGGAAAGTACTGCCCAGGTGAAGGGCCGGTGTCGTAGTCGGCGGGCTCGACCAGGGGTACCGGAGAGTACCAGCGGCCGCACATGTCGAGTCTTCGGGATTTGAAACGAAGGATTGGGGGAAGCAGGATAGGAAGAGTTGAAGACGGACGCTCTGGATTGTGGATCGATTGATGGAAGATGGATGTCAGATAGGCGGAGGAGGAAGATGAAGATGGAGGATAGGAAGATCGCGAGCGCGCCTGAGTCGTACCGTTGTACGTGCATTTAGTGCTGTATCGTCGAGCACGCTGCGCGCAGAAGACCAGATCGTGGAGGCGCGAAGAAGAGTTGTATCGTTGTACGCGCATTTTAGGACTGTATCGGAGCACGCGAGAGAGCTGTACCGGAGTACGCGCCAGGAGAGTTTTGACGTCGGATTGTTGTTCGAGTGGGAAGCTGGCATGGAGACGGACAGTTCGAAGGCAGACGGATAGAAGTTAGGGAGCGCGATTTAGAGTTGTATCGTTGCACGCGTATTTAGTGTTGTATCGTTGGACGCGCTTTAGTATTGTATCGTCGTATGTGTACTAGTGTAGTATCGTCGAACGCGTTTCAGTACTGTATCATTGTACGCGCTGGTTCGAAGGCGAAGGACGAGCGACGGACAGGAGGAATCGAGAGAGGGGTATGGAGCTGCGTAGAGCTGTATCGGTGGACGCGCGAAGGTGGAGCAGTATCGAGACGCGCGAAGAATCGCAGCTGGGGATCGACACCGTCCTATATTGATATATAGGAGCTTGGACCATAGCCGGGGAGACGGGATTCGGGGTTCTCTTATGTAAGCTGGGGTTTTATAGTTAGTGTTTTGTGTTCTATAGCTTTTGTATTTTTGTGTTTTCTAAGAAAGTTTAAGTTTGGGGTTAGATGTGAGTTGGGATGAGTACTAGGGGTCCTTGGATCTATATCCTGTTAGTTTTTCTATCACACCACCTTCTTTTCCTTCGCTCTACTGTAGTTTAGTTTTCCCACAAACCGGTATTACTGTCCCCGTAGTATATTTTCTTCTCCTTTCTTTTTTAATCGTCATCACTAATCGTAGTCGCCTTTGGCTCCCGTCGTAGTGTAACATGGGGTACCATTAGGTAAGTTTCGTTCGCGCAAATAAGCGCACTTGCGCGTTCGTTCCTGTGCCCCCTTAGTTCGCCCACCACCCCTAGTACAAGCGGAGAGCAGCCGTGCTAGAAGGATAGGATTGCCGTGCAAGACGCTGGGAGGTACCATCAGCAGGATGACGACGACAGACGGCAACTGGTACGAAGCACGGTTTTAAGCAGGATATGGTCCAAGTGTCCACGGGTCATCAGTGATGGCCTCTCCGTTCGCCGACAGGAGCCCTGAGCAGTTTCCAGACCGGCCTCCGACAGGATAACCTTTCCCGTACCTCGTTATACGCGCGCCACTTAGTGCCGCGCAGGCTCTTCAGTGACACTCTGTCTTTATTCATGCTCTGTTTGCCTTACGTCCTTTGGTCACCCCACGGTTACGTACTACACTTTTCTTTTTTGTTTTTCCTTCTGTGGTGGAGTAAGTTGGGTAAGTTGGAAGGGTCTAGTAGGGTTATTCGTTGCTATGGGTAGTAGGGAGTGTGTTCTGTGTTTTTCTATTTATAATTATTATTCTCTATAGGTTACCGATGGGTGTGAGTTTGCCCCCCTAGCGCGCCGCGCTTCGTTTAGGCATGGTACATCTTCGATGTCGTCGATCACACGACGGATTGACAGAGAGAGCCATTGGAAACAGGCAGAATTTCTTACCGTTCTCCATCCAGGTACCGAGCCTCTGTTCCTTTTTCTTTTGTTCTGATTTGTCTGGTGCCAGGCCGTTGTCGAGCTTTACGCTCTGTTTTTACTATCAGGCCAGATGTTGTGTTTTTGCGGCGGAATGCCTTTCTCTCTGTAATTTTTGTCCCGTATTTTCCCACTTTTTCTTCAGTTGGGTCCTGAAACGATTGTTGCTCAGCGCGCACTTTAGGCGGTGTGTACCCCACCTTTTTGTGCATATTGATCACTATCAGATCTTTTGCGCTTCTTCCCTTATTTCCTATGTCTTGTTTGTTGTTGTCGACGCAATAAGCAACCATAGCCCCTTTTTACGTTCTTGTAATTTTGGTGAACGTGCGACCCAGCTGCTCATTTCGCGCAAACTTCGTCTCCTTTGGCCTCAGATCGTCGGTTAGGTCAGTAGATTCTGTACTTGTCGCCATGCATTCTATCTTTGGTGTATAGCGAACTTGTTCCATCCTTGCAGTTGCTATTGTCTACCGTTGCAGCCGTGTCCCAGCCAAATCAGTATTTTTGTTCTTCTTGCAACTTCGCGAGCCGTCAGCTTATCGCCATTCCTTTTGCTCATTACAGAACCTTCTGCACGCGCGTTCCATCTTGGGTCCATTCTGTATCCGTGCAGCTGTCCTGTAAGTGCTCTGCGTAGTTGCAATTTTTGTTTGATTCTTGGCTACCTGCAAGACTATTATATACTCGGCTTCGACCAAAACCCGGTTTTTTTTTCTTTACGCGCGTTCAGTACATCGTCTGTGTGCTAGCACGATCTGCGCACTTTTGGATATCTCTTGTACTGCGCGTCAATCCTGGTAATTCTTATGTTATATCCCGTAAGCGCGCCTTTGGTAGTATGTTATCCCCTGTTGGCGCAGTGTAGATTTTTCCTCATTGCATATTCCATCTATAGGCTCCTTCTTGCGCGTGAGTATTCTCAGTAGTATCGCGCCTTTGCTCTCGTTGTGCGTTCCATCTGCACCTTGATCTCATGCCAAGTTTACTTGATTACATCCTCGGCAAGTGGAGCACTTATCTACCATCTACGTTGGCATCGTCGTATTTTCTGCGTTGTATCGTTGCTCGACGAAGTATTGCGCTTAGCGCGCCAGCCGTGCTTCACAGATCTTTTTTGCCCGTAGTAGCTTGGCCTAATTGCTGTGCTCAGGGCTACCATGTCTTGCTTATTCACAGTCGTACCATCCTGTTCGTATGTTTAATTTGCCTGGCCAGCTAGTGTAACTGCGATCACTACTGTATATTAGCAAACGTGTCCTTGAAGTGCATCTGTTTTCTGGATTTAGACTTACCTGACGCGCAACCCGTAGACACGTTTATACTATCTTCTCCGTGGACGCTTACGTCAGGGACCTGTAGCCATTAACATCGGCTGTGGTCATACGCGCGGCTTTTGCCATTGCCTTGTCGGATTTACCCCTTTTTTCTAGGATTGGCTTATACTCGGACTTACTTTTCGTCTGCATTGCTGTTTTGTTGTGTCACTTCTTTACCATCTATTTGGACACACTCGGTATGCAGCGCAACCCGATTTCGACAAATATTGGAATGGTCCTGCGGGTAGCACCTACTCCCGTACCTGCTATAGCGTCTCGTTGGCAGTCCGGCTTGAGTTCCATCATCGGTCATGATTATACTCAGCGCGCACAAAGCGGTTCCACTTATTTTTGAACATTGATGCGCGACCACATATATTGTCACGTGCCGAGTAAGTGGACTGAAAGAGTAACATCATTTTAGTTGTCATACGGAGTATTAGTCATGTCCGCACCATCCGGCTCATCGTCAGAACATCCAGAGGAAAGTTCCAGCGCGCTTCATGGACGCGCTAATCAACAACCAGGAACATCCCAGGAAGATGACCTGCCAGTTTTCAATTTCAACGCATTTCTTCGTTTTTTTTGCAGGGAGAGACCCCTTCGATGACCCGGTCATGTCCGCATGCTTTCGTGAGGAATTCAGAAGGGCGTCGAAGGGCGATCGAATTCTTCTTGGCCTAAAGCTATACCATCCATTCTTACAGACTTCGAGGATGATGAGACCATCGATAAATCGGGAGTAGAAGGCAGCGACGACGTGCCTGAAGACGTCATCTGGCGGGAGTTGATGGAGGTTCGTGGACGAGTACCCATGGCGAATCCACAAGACGCGCAGACGGACGCGCAACCGGGTGATACTGCGGACTCGAACGGTAGTAGTAGGCAACATCAATCAAAAATTTAAATTTCCCTTTTTATATTTTATATTTCCAAATTCACTAACGTTTTGTATTCGCGCGTCAGTCAATTTTCTTTTTACATTTTAGCATCTTTGTAACTGTCGCGCCTCTAAAATTTCGTTTTTATACTTTGCCTACTTATCGTATAAGATCTGTCGCGCTAGTCAACCCACTAGTTAACATCATCTGCCGCACTTGTGGGACGCGTTAAGATCTATCGCGCCGCACGAAGCTCCGCTTAACATCTTAGTCAACCATCAGCTCCTTACTAGCCATACTTCCTATTGTAGTAGCGCGTTAACATCATTCAAATTTTCCGCTAATTATTCTAACTTGTCTATTGTTGCTACTCGGTCGAGCAGCCCAGCGGAAGTCTACTTTAGGAAGTTGCAGCCGTCACCGGACGCGCCGTCTCATTTGTCTGAGTCCCGACCATAGAGCCATTGCGAGCAGTCCACCAGGCTCCTGTAACATCTGCTCTATAGGATGGGCCGTCTTTCCTTGAACAGACCCACAGTGCTGCACCCCCGGGTCCTTGAGTTGCAGGGTCGATCCCCTCGTCGAGGCATTTTGTCCTCGGCGGGAGGCTGGACCTTCGTCCAATTTGGTCCGGATGGGTGCTAGATGCGCAAATTTGGGAATGTTTCTGGAAAGGCGTGGTACTTTTTTCGTCTGAAAGCCAACACCCTCTCAGTTTATCGTTTTATTTTGTGCCCTTTTATCGTAAATTAAGTCAAAATTAAGAGAGGGTGAAGGTTTTCTTTGTTTCAGGGTGTGCGTTCCAGGACGCGCGTCATGTAGGTTCGCAGGGCGGTAACTTTCGTTTCGGGCATTATGCTCCCTCGACGTTGAACGTATGAGTGTATTTAGAGTGGTTAGATGTTGGTGGTGCGAGGGGCGTAGTGCGAGTTGGATGCGCAGTAAGATCAGCGCTGGTCGAAATGGATGGTGAGATGGCGAGATGGAGCGATGATGATGCTATGGGCTGGAGCGTCTATCCTGAGACTTGTAAATAGTTTAGTAGCTGTAGAAGTATTTTTAATCATTGTTCATATTTATTTGGTAAGCGCCTTGAGCGCTCCGGTTTATTCTAGTAGTCACCTGCGCGTCAAAGAGCCTGTAGTTTTGTGTCTATTTTTGTGTTTTACCACGGGGCGGGTTGTTGCCTGTTCCCTCGCTACCGATGCCGTATGTTTCTCTTTTTTTCTATCATCGCCCAAATTTTTTAGGTTAAGGCAGTTACCCCAGGTCACGGTGCTATCACGTAACCCCCTATTCGCAACGCCCAATGCCTTTCGTTGTGGGGGGGGGGGAGTGTCGGGCTCGCGATCGACCGCTCCTCACAGCATGCGGCCGGGAGCACCGTGTTGTCGCGCGTCTCGGTCGTGAGCACGGTCGCCGCGCTTTACGGCGGCTATCTTGTTCGCTCCGAGACCACACCACGTAGGCACGCCCCCAGCCACCGCTATAAATAGCGCGTACGCGCGCCAGTGCGGCCTCTCTCGTCTTGTCATCTTACTATTATCGTCGTGCCGCCTTTATTATTGATTGGTTGGGTTTCTACGATATCGCCGTCGTGTCTACGTCCCCGTGCCTCGCGCGATTGGATGGATCGTTGATGGATTGTTTGGATGTACGCGCGAGGATAGAATCCAGGATTATGAACATCACGAAGCGCCTTGGTCGCGCAGGACTCGTTGGGAGCTTGGTTCGATGCTGTTGGTTAACATCATGGGGTCGGTGTTGCCGTGCCGTAGCTGCTGCCTTGGCGGCGCGCGGCCGGCCTGTGGGTAGCTCCCTTGGATGCCGGGAGAGTGTGTGAGTGTGTTAGCGTGTGAGTGTGAGTAAGATAGAGTCCCCATCGGTAGCCCGGGGTAGAGCTTAACTCTCCCCGTGGTAAGTATGTTTATATTTATGTCGTATATTTTTCTCGTGTATATTTGTTTAGTAAATTTATGTACTTTTATTGTTTTGTGTGCAGTGTAGGCGTAACGCGCCATTGTGAGCTGGCGCGCACCCGCAGTGGCGGAAGTCCTTCGGGGACAGGAGCTGGACGCAAGGCAGTCGAGCACTAGGTGAGGGGGCGCAGAGCCCACCGAGCCGCAACAAGTTTTGTTATGTAGGCTAAGACAATTAGAAAAGTGATTCATAGAACCCAGTTTCATATTCACGGTGATTTGCATACTAAGTCTGAATTCAGCGTGATAATACAGGGTGTCCCAAAAGTATGTATCGAACGTTTGATCGTTAATAACTCTCTTCCCAAGAAGTCTTTTGCCTTGCTTCAGGTACCGTTTTGTAGAACTGGCTTCAACTTAGATTTGCAGTATAGAACGAATCACTCATTTCTCTTCATTACTGTAGGATTACGGTAGAAACTTCAAGGAGGGTTTTAAGCAATGAAAGGCCATATTTTGCCCCAGAAAGGAAACAAAACAGCCTTAAAACTTTTACACTAGGCTAATTAGAGTTGCTGATTATAATTGTAAAGTTCCCAACTTATTATGATGCTTCATTGAAGAGTTATGCCAGGTAAGAAGTAGCGGCCATTTTTTCAATGTTCCTAAAAAGTGGGATTGCACCGTTTAGAAAGCTTCGTAATCTTGTGAATAGTTAATTATTGAACTCAGCGTCCATAAAAACCCTATTACACAAGTTTTCACGATTTTTTGAAAAATTTTGAAACGGCAGCTTTTTTCACATTAACACCATATGTTTCAAGTTTCTACCGTAATCCTACAGTAATGAAGAGAGATGAATGATTCGTTCTATAGTGCAAATCTAAGTTGAAGCCAGCTCTACAAAACGGTACCTAAAGCAAGGCAAAAGACTTCTTGGGAAGAGAGTTATTAACGATCAAACGTTCGATACATACTTTTGGGACACCCTGTATAATAAAAATTCATATATTAAACCTTTAAAGGACTTTTTTCAAACCTTCACATTCATCTAACAGTGACGCAACTCGATTTTAGGCATCAGAATCATATACTGGAAGTTGCGATCTCGCCCTTGTCGGTTCCAAGAATTTCAGTGAAGATTTTCTTAAATAAACTTAAAAGAAAGGAAAAGCTGCGAGTAGTGCGAAGAGTTGATTAAGCCTAAAATACTGCGCTCATTGTCCCTTGACAATGGTATTTCTATTATATAGGGTCTCAAAAAAATGTGCACACTGTTTATAAATTTATATCCTTCTATCTAATGCCTTCCGTCGCAGAATACCATTTAGGGCTGGTTTCAGCGATATATAGTATGGCAGATTGCCGCTCTCTCTCCTTTACTTGTTAGGATCGCAATAGGAACTTTCACCACGCAGAGGCTGTGAAAAAGCCGATTGGTAATGAAGGCAACAAACAATGAGAAAATTGTGAAGCAGGTTTACTCATGTTGGTTTGATTATTTTACAAGTTTTCGAGCATTTTGGTATGATCACATTGCTGTAAAAGATTGAAAAACATTTGTCTGCGGTTTGCCTGGCATTATTTAAGAACCATTGCATTAAGTGTTCTGCATAATTGAAGTTTGCAAGTCTAATTAGTCTGATTTCACCATTATAACATGCGATATAACTATGGAATCAAAATATCAAATGTTTAACCTGCGCACTACAAAGAAAACGGGAAGCATAAAAAACATCAAATAATGCGCAAAAGTAAGAACATCTTTTCAGCCTTAGCATTATTTTGCGTGCCATTGGAGCTTCTGACTGCAAGTGCTCTCCCCCCCCCCCTCCTTGCTGCTAATAAGACATTTCTTGTCATAACAATATGCTTGCCCCTACAAATTTCAAAATTATGAAAGTGTAGGATTACTTTGAATATCATAGTGGAATTATAGATTGAATTAGACACATCCAATCCTCCTTCATTGGAAAAGTCTGATCTCTCACCGTTTTTAGTTTTTTCTAAGGATCTTACGGCATAAACTATTAAGATAGATTTGCCGCCAAGCGCAAAACATCTCTAAGTGCTCAGTTTACTGTGGACACGGTCTGTATTTCTTGTTGGTCATTGGTGGCTTGAACGGCTGATTTTCTAGTTGTCATTCCTACAATAAATGAACGTCAATTTTGATCGAGAAAATGGAAGTCGTTATATGAAATTTAAAGGGCGGAAATAAACCACTGAAAAAGTAAGTTTCGCTTTGTAGAGTTTGTATTTTGAGACAATTCTGAACTCGACAGCGAGTCTATAAGATGTACTGCATTCGCAACTATTTGCTTTTCCGAACTTGACTTCACAGCTGTGTTACTCTTACTTTTGATGTTAATGAAAGAGTAGTAGTTTGCAAATAATCTATTTTGTAGCTATACGAAAAAACTTTGCTTCTGATGGTGTAGAATTGTATCTTGATGATCTTTTGAGATTATCCTGATCTCATTAGGGAGCACCAATTTATCTAGTCCTCCGTCATGTAAGATGTTGATAAGCTAGCTGGTTCGATACGCTAGAAAACAGTGCCTATTTACGATCGTACAGTGGTATCGGCGCCGCCGCAAAAAACAACGGATTATGTGACATCGCGTCGGAAGCGCCGCAACAGCATAACTCTCTTAAATGTGATTTATGAGCAGAGAAAGACATTTATTTTGAATCAGCATCCTTCAATCTATTTATTACCAGATTTTGATTTTCGACAACCGTTACCATCAAATGTGCGGGCTTGTCGCTAACTGGTGGAGTCAAGACCTCTGATGATGACGCCGATGTCGAAACGTTAGGTCAATAAAGTCTCCACCGCAGAATATGGTTGACAAACACATTACTTACTGACATAAACTTTTTTCATATTTCCGATGACGTCACGGTGAACGTCCACGCTCCTAGGGTTTGCGGCTTATTAGCCGCTGTATAGCTCGCAGTCGATTAGATTCGTTGGTTTAAATCATTGCTTACTATAGGGGGTCGTATTCCACCTCTATTCGCCCATGATTTTGAAACTTTAGTTAACTCGCAGAATTTGACAACTAATCTAGATCCGTCAAGTAATATTTCCACCAATCATAGCGGACCCGAGCTTGATCCTGTTAATAACTAAAAGTAGAAAAGACATGATTTCACGGTCTAAACATATTTCTTTCATATTCGGAGTGTATACATTTGCGAAAGTAGCCTAGTCAGAATAGCCAATCATAACTACCACAATGCGCGACCATCTCTGCTACTCGGGACACTGTACCCTTGATACGTAGAGCGATAAATCCGGTAACCTACACTCTAAGCGACATAAACAACACTCACTTATTAGGGTGATCGATAAAAAATGGGGCACCTAGAGAATAACTGTAGATTTTTCAAAAAAAAAGAAAAGTGGTTAAACTTCCCAATTTTGACAGATGTTAGCATAAATTATTCTCTTTCAGAAAATACCTATATAAGGCCATTTACATACGTAATAACTTATATACTTGCTGAAATGCAAAGTTAATCACTTCGACAAATTATGAACTTTGAGCAGTATCTACGCAGTGAAACATGTGAGACCACTGCTGGAACCCACTGGGTTAGTGCTTTTGATGAATATCGATTCTACTCCAGGGAAAAATCGATATTTATCAAAAGCACTAACCCAGTGGGTTCCGGAACCCACGGGTTTCGTTGATGAATACGGCCACTGGAGTGGGTGGTGGGACAGTCACAACCCACGACGGCTTGTTGGCCTCAACTTTTAAAGTCAGGAGATATGGCCATTAGCAGCTTCGAGAACAAAGATGCGCGTTGTTCAATTCTTTGCAGGTGAACGCATGTTTTCTAGGTACCATCTGATAGAGCTTCTTATGCTCTATCCATTCATGTGCAGATTGCCTCAGATTTTTCTTATCGTTGGGAAATATAAGGCAAAACATGATTTTTTTGGTTTTTATTGCGCCAAAAATCGCGATTTTTCAGGTATTTCGCTTTTTTTTATCCAGAAACTAGCTGGCTTACCCGGCTCCGCCGTATCCGGACCAAACTTGGCACACATACACTTCGGGTCCCGGCGGGTGTCACAGTCCACTTTTCGTTATCGATCGATG